GAGAGAGAGAGAGAGAGAGAGAGAGAGAGAGAGACAGAGAGAGAGACAGAGAGAGAGAGAGACAGACAGACAGACAGACAGACAGACAGAAAGACAAACTAACAGACAGACAGAGGCAGAGTTAGATAAAGAGAGAGAAAGAGGAGGACAAAGTATGTGTGTATGCATTTGTGCTTGCGCTTATGTTCCTGTGAATGAAAGGTGGAACAGGGTAGGCAAAAATAATACATTTTTTAATGAATACACATGTCCACACTCGATGACTAGTTACAACTGCAGAAAATATCTTATTTGCAAGAATGGCTTAGCGTCATACATAACAAGCGACTGCTTAGAAAAAAAGAGGATATTCATTTCACTTGGACCCAGAAAAAACAAATCAGGCATTTGTTCTTTACAGAACGTTGGTCAACAGTCATTGATATTCTGAAGACTTACGACTAGCCAGTATTACAACAGCACGTCTTAAAACACAACCATGCCCTCCAAATCGGCGATTTCATGATCATTTTGGTTAGAATAGCAAAACGTGCGGTATCAGTCATTAATTTTGTTTACTTTTATGCAAAGAAGAAGAAAAAAGAACAACTCATGATTCCTTCATGTCTTTCAAATATCGTTGGTACAGTTTATCTTGTCGTGTCTGCTCAATAAATGATCGCAGTCTCTTCTGGACCGCCCACTTCACGATGTAGCCCATTCCGGAGTCGGCCCGTGAAAGATTCCACTGCTGAGACTTCAGGGAGGAAGTAGAGTTTGTACGGCGCATGCGCTCTGCTCGTTGTAGCGTCACTTCCTGTTTCGAGTCAGGGGACTCCGGAGGAGAACGGGGTGAGAGGTTGCTCTTCAACTCGCCGATGACAACTTCGAACTCGTCTGAGCCACGGGGTAGAGGTGGTCTTTGGGAGCACCACGCCTCGGGCACCACAGCGAAAGGCACAGCTGTCATCTTTTTACACTTGAAATCTGAAATTTAAAAAGGATGAAAGTTGTAACTGTTTTACACAATACAATTTAAATTATCTAGGAGATGGCCTGCTTCAACCCTGCTTGTCAGGGTCAAACTGGGCTGAGAGGAAATGTGACGTCCTACGAGACGGATTGAGATACTTGATGACTACCCCCCTCTTCGACACGGGAATCGACCTCATGCCATCTGCGTACAACTGCAGGACGTCTTACCCTTGTACGACAAACATCAATCGTCTGAGGTTTAAGTTAAAAAAAAATAGAACAGAGAGAACAATTAACATTTTAATAGCTAGCCTTTGTTGTCCGAGTTCAACGCCTCACAAGACATAAACAGATGTTTTCATCAAGGCTTTATGCCGGCAAAGTAGCCAGGTATTATAGTTATGGTGTTCTATCTTCGTTGGACACCACAAAAAAGCAAAAAAAAACAAACAAAAAACCCCCAAACTACGCCGCCCCTTACCCCACCCAAAAAACCCCAAAACAAAAACAAAAACAAAAAATAAAACAACAGCAACAACAAAAACCAACAACCGAACAACAGTTAGGTTGGCCTATCTTTACTGTCACTGTTGTTAAGTTGTTGATTGTTGTTATTGTTATTGTAATTGTTGTTGTTATTGTTGTTGTTGTTGGTTGTTGTTGTTGTTGTTGTTGTAATGGTTGTGATGGTAGTGGTGGTGATCGTCGTGGTGATTGTGGTGGTGGTGGTGGTGTCGCTGCCGTCATCGTCGTCTTCATCGTCGTCGTCGTTGTAGTCATTGTTTTTCTTGCTGTGGTTGCTGATGTTGATATCGTCACTGTTGTTGTTTTGTTTGTGTGTGACTATAATATTATTGTGTTTGTTCAACTACAAAACAGGTTGGAGCATTAGAAATGACATCGGTAAGCTGGTGATTGGAACTGCAAAATATAAACCTAGTCGTAGAGGAGGCGAAAAAAGTGCAGTCTCCTTGATGAAATAGATTGTGTTGATTTTTTCATTTTTTAGGGGGGGGGGGGTGATGCTTTACATGTTTGATTGCTTGTTTTTGTGTTTGATGCATGTCTCATTATCATTATAAATGACGCCAAGCGTTTTTGATGGCGGATCGACCGGGGTCGGTACTATTATAGTATAGATCTTCAATGTAGCACGCAACGATGTGAGTTCGATTCCAAAGTCCTGAACTCTATTTTACCGAATATCTTTCACTTTTGTGCTGGGATGTTGACGCCAACTTAGCCTGAATTGGTTCTGTCTGAAAGTGTCAAGCAGACCAGCCCCCAAATCACCCACACAATGTCGTGAGGTTAAAAAAAATAAATAAAAAATTTCGAATCATGTGAAGACAGTCACGTTCGAAGGCGGGCCGCAGGTGAGCGATGCGAGGGTCCGTCTTTTAATTGACGTCTCTTCAATGATAGACCCTCGCATCGCACAGCTGTCAGATCCAAACAAAATGTGGTTGGTCAAATGACCAAGGAAGTTCAGGGACAAGACGCCCCATGGAAGACAGAGACGCTCTGGGTATAAAAGGAAGGAGCGGCACCCTACAGTTGCGAGTAAGGCTCCCCTTTAGTTTGATCGCCAGCTATTCGCATCGCACACCCCCCCCCCTTCTTTCCATACACACAGAGACACACTCGCACCCTCTATCTCGGGAAAATTCTGTTTTCTTGTTAACTCCTGGAGGACGCACTTTCTGATCATTCGACAACGCTCTTGAAGACACGCTATTTTGAGGCTCTTTGAAAGAAAAAAAAAGCATAAATCCGTTATTCATACGAATTTTAAGTTCCTTTTTATATTTATATGAAACCTAAAAAACAACAACAACAGCAAAAATATAAACAACAAAAAACAATAACAAACAAACAAAAATAAACCTCGACAAGCTTACAGTGAACTATGCAATATGTTATGTGCTTCTGATTTGTGTATGATGGTACGAAATGTGCTTCAACATTCATTTGGTCTGCTTATCGGACATACTTATTAAGACTCTTCTGTTTTAATCAATCAGCGAGAGCCCTTATTTCTTCACCAGCCAGTTCTTTTCACAGGTCGACCTTGACAGACAGGATCGAAGCAGCCCGTTGAATTGATTTAATTATGTCGGTGGGGATGTAAAAGACCTAGAATCTATAATTAGAAGGGAAGGTGAAAAAGAAACGACACCCCCCCCCCCCCCGAAGATGTAGATAGTGACGATGCACAAAAGAAAATGTCTTTCACGCGTCTGAATATAGATAAGATAGTCGTTTGCGAGATCTCCCCCATTGAAGAGCTCTCATCTAACGCTGTAGAATAGCCAGTCTATTTATCTTCCACCCCCCTCCCCCTTCAATCTTTCTGTCGATGTCTCTGCCTCTGTCTGTCTGCCTCTCTGGCTCTGTACCTCTCAGAGTATTTCTGTTTCTCTCTGTCTCACTGTTTCTCTCTCTTTCTGCTTGTCTGTAAGACTGTGTGCCTCGGGGGAACCCGTTTATTCTTTAACTAAAACAAACAAACCAATGAAAAGACCTTATCTCACCTTCGAAGAGCTGATAAACAGAATAGCCACTGGAGACTATTGGCCAACACCCGGACGTTCGAACACTTCACTTCGAGAAGCAATACTGGTAAACAAAGAACTGTCACTTTAGATTGCCACTTCTAACTCAAAAAAAAGTTTTCCTGCTGTCATCTAAAGATATCGGAATCAGTGATTTATCGTTCCCAGCTCCACGCATTTTATACTTTTGAGGCCGATTGTTATTGTCTTCAAACAGGAAGCACAAGAGACCTTGGTTCTGACCGGATTTCTAGATCCCCCTTTTGGCGTATTGACCTAATCTTCCAGCTGTAGAAGCGACACCAACATCCACATAGCACGTTACAGCGTCAGACCTCAGACCCCTGCCTTACGCTGAAGACCCGCATATATCCAATATGTGGAGTGTACATTTGTACAATTGTTACCGGACTTGCATTATGGCGGGGCGTCCTGTTAGGTGTGGGTGGATTTGATGCAGGAAGGATTTCATCGGTACCGATTTCGCGGGAAAAGAGCAGGATTATTTCTCCAAGGCCACTTAGTATGGAGCTCTCATCAACCCCTTGGTGGCACCACTATTGTGGCTCAGGGAATCCCCACCCCCACCCCCACCCCCACCGGCCCGAAAAGAGAAGAAAACAATATTCATTCGGACGTATTAATTGTTGAAATAGCAACTGCAAATGGCATTTGGAAACGGATGTATTCACTTCGAAATGAATCACACTTGGCAGATTAATGATTTCGATTCTAATAACATTGCAAAGTGCGCACTCTCCATAATTTCGTAAAGAAGTGGGATTCAAAAGCTCAAGAGGCACAAACGTGTGGTAAACATGCGCCCAGTCATGTGGTGTACTGTTTTCCCCTTGCGGTCACGATTACTGTCGCATTTCTCGTGTGGTGGCTAAAGTGGCGGTAAAATCCCTCCCCAATTATTGTCTTTGGCGTGGCATTGCCAGGGGGTGCGGGCTGACCCTGTGACGAGGGCCAGTACTATCGACGACAACATCTATAACTTCGTAACACGATATTATATTCCTAATGACAACTTGATCTAGTTATGACATTCGCCTACACCTCCCCTCCCTTCCACCCCTGCCCAAACCCTTTTATCCCCTTCTTCCCCACTCCCCCTGTTTTCGCCTACGACCTTCCCAGATCCACAAAAACATTTATTTCGTCCTCCTGAAACACACATTCGAATGTTTTTCTTCTAGCAATCAGACTGAAATCGTAGAATGCTATGCGCAAGGAAATGCAAGAAATAAAATTTATGGATGTTTTTCAAAGAATGACATCCTGTTTTGTTTTAGTGTTTTGGCAAATATAAAAAAAAATTAGAACTTTTATCTTTAACAAGATCAGCCGAGGAGGGCTGCGTGTTAGAGAAAGAAAATTCATATCAGAGTTTACAATTTTTGTAAAAAAAATAGTTTATCTTCCCATCTCTCTCTCTCTCTCTCTCTCTCTCTCTCTCTCTCTCTCTCTCTCTCTCTCTCTCTCTCTCTCTCTCTCTCTCTCTCTCACTCTCTGTCCCTATCTTTGTCTCTTTCTCTGGCTGCACACCCCTCTTTCTTTCCCTGTCTGTCTCTCACTCCTAGACCGTTTTCTTCTTAACAAAGTTCCCCTTCGGGGGACCAACCAAGAGCTCCTTTTTCAAAATGACCTAACTTGAGTCAAGAAAGACGTAATCTTCACTAAATACAAGTCTGAAGCAATAAGGGAAACTGTTATTGAGAGGCTATTTATCCTTGTCTAAAGCAACTACTATCACATAGAAAATAAAAGAAACAAACAAATGTAGCAGTTAATATTACGCAAGAAATGTGTACATTCATTGAAGGAACGGCAACGTTTCTTCATCTTTCCTTCAGCCTTGCAGGCACAGTTTTAAACCCCAAACGTTAGACCTCGTAAATAACAAACTGCGTTTTAGGGGCCTCTTGTTTTCGAGATTTGGGTGGCACATATGGGCCCTCATGAAAGTCAATATTGACATAGGGGTTTCCTTACGCACAGGGCCGTGCCCAGTTCCAGACACCAGCCACCGGAAGGCTGGTACACACCGGTATCCACTGAGGGGAAGGGGAGGAGGAGGAGGAAGGGGGAGGGGCTGGCACCGGCTGTTGTGCATTGAGAGAAACGGGTGGGGGAAATCCCAATTGAGAAACTGTTACGCCAGGAATTGGGTAGATGATAGAAGGCACAATTTACCATAATTTTTCCGGATCAAATTCTTGTGTTTTCATAATACAATATCTTCAAATGCCACTGGAACTTCAAAAGCTACATTGTAAGATAAAGTGCCAATTGTATCTCAAACGTAGGTTACAATAGGCAGCGTTTCATTATGACGTCATTTGCATGCAAATTTCAATTTCTATTTAAATATTACAATGCAACTTCTTATGTTCTCCAAATTCTTCTTGGTCTCTAAACATTTCTTTCGTGAAGGTGTTGATCAGCTGTATAACCTCTCTGATCGGAAATGTGACAACTATAGAATTGTGATAGTTGTGAACGCTCCATCTGTCCCTGTTTCCAGATCTGTGGTGCCGAGTGAAATGGGCCCTATGTCGCTCGGGTTGTTTTGGTTTGCGCTTCCGGAACTCCCTCGAGAAGGGAGAGACGGTAAATAGGTCAATAAGGTTATAAAGTCGCTGTCAGCAGCTGGGAGCAGATTTCCCGTGTGGTTAATGAATTTGTTTCTGGCTCTATCTTCCCTGATCTGATCTTAATGAAGCGACGAAAGAAACAGAAAAATAATCAGGGAAAGTTATGTCTGGTTGGATAGATTAGGTTTGAACAAGCAAGAAACACGAACATTACATTGTTCCGAATACCCAATGCCCAGGGTGACATTAAAAAAAAAAGTTTACCACTGAAATTCAAATAACTCAAATAACAGGGGCGTCAAAGTTTAAAACAAACAAAACAAGACGTTTTGGACTTGTCTGTAAAAATTAAAACGTTAAATTGGTGCGGATAATTTATAGCACATGCTCAGTAAATTGCCTTGGCACTTCTGCATGAATTGATTTAAAGTCAAAACTTTTGAATTACGATGTTAGCATACTGGGAGCTAATACAGCATACTGTTTCAAACTTATCTGTTCCTATTTGAACATTCTGTGTTTATTTTTAAAGTTGCTACTTGGCTTTTGAAAATGCAATACGACAATTGAAAACATTAGATGTGTATTTGACAGATAAAACCCAAATCTATCGCCTAAACTTTTAGCACAACTTAATAAAATCCATCAAAATCAAACAAGATTGATGATCCAGAACACCATTTGAAAGCTTTGAAAAAATAACCAAACAGCCAATCAGAAAGCTTTTACTTGTTGCGGGTCAAATCCTTTGTTTGCGCACGGAATGTGATGACATCTGGACTTCTAGATCAACTTTGATGAAGCAAAACAGAGGTCAGTTTCATATAACGTGTAATATTGGTCAGCACCATCCTTCAAAAACATTAAATCATAACAAGCAGAGATTCATTTGACGAAACTTTCTGCAGTGGACACGATGATGCTGGTGGGACGAGTCAGTAGATTTCTTTGATCCCTTGCATTAGTCAGTGTCAAGAGGCACGATTAGAACAAATTGCTTATTAAAGTTGACAGTGTTATTTTATACTATAACATCTATTATCTTGATCGGTATTAAAATGCGCTCGGCAACAAACAACATCAAAAGGAATGTATCAGGATTTGCCAAAGTGGTCCTTGCGAATGGGTGTTTTAAAACAATATTATTACAGGGTCTTCACATTCTAACATAGTTTCGTGGAATAAACAAGAAACATTTCCGACGTCACGTTTTTCAATACAGGTACACGTGTTTTGCTCACGACACTTGGCCTACAAATAGGAAAAAAAACAAAAACAAAAACGAAACACATTAGAACCAAGTCCAGGCCAGAAGCAGTGGTTGTTATGATAAGTAAGATTTTAGGTCAATTCAATTAAGTGGCACAGAAATTCTCAGAGGAGTCGACATAGATTTACATTTGACGTAAACGTGGTTTGCTGAATAATGGGCGTTTTAAGAAAAAGAATACAAACACAAAAAATAAAAACAACAACGTGTGGTTCAAGAGAGCTACATGTCGAAGGAGCCGGAAAAGAAGCAAACTAAAATGATAATATAAAAAAGAGTATAGAAGTTTGATTCAAGTTTGACTTAAGTTTTTTTTAAGAAGCAGACTTCGACTTTCTCCTGAGCCATAGATATTGTTGAAAAGTTCTGTCTTAGTGTCAATGCCAAACTGATATAAATACTTCTGCATTTCTGTGTTTATGTCATCTTCACCTTTGAGTGTTTGGAGGGTATTAGTATTGATGGCAAAGACCTAAGGATCATAGGAAATATTTACTGACAGCAGAAAGCAGCAATTAAAGTGTGTAATGAAATATCAGAACAGACTAAAATCCAAAGGGGCTGAGACACAGTTGAGTCATCTCTCCCTATCTTTTTAACATCTATACAGAGTTTATTTTTAGAGAATCTCAAAACCTGCAGGGAGTCACTTTTGGGGGCTGCAACATCAATAACCTGAGATACGCAGATGATACAGTTCTGCCTGCAAACACGAGCGAAAATCTTTCTAAAATTGTGAAAGTAGTAAAAGTGAACAGCACCATGGGAGGCTTCGACTTAAACGCCAAGAAAACAAATACCATAATCTAATAAAATCTTCTGGAAAACAACAGACTTAACCATAGATGGGGAAAGAATCGAACAAGTGCACCAATTCACGTATCTATGGGCAACAATCACACATGATGGAAGAAGTGAAAACAAATAAACATAAGAACGGCAACTGCAAAAACAAGATTCAGCCATATTTCTATTGGCTGCAGAGACCTGGACTTTGACAAGGAAACAAGAAAACAAAATAAATGCGTTTGAAATATGGTGTTACCGTAGATTGGCAAAAATAAGTTGGAAAATAAAAAGACAAACAATGAGGTGTGTCAGATTCTACACACAAGACCAACCCTGCTAAATGAAACAGAATGTGAAAAAATACATTACTATGGCAACTTAAAACGACTCGAGACCAATGAAGGAAAGATGTGAGGCAGGAGAGCCAGTGGAAGGCAAAGAATAACATTGATGGACAACAAAAGAACACGGACTGGCCTGGATATGGTAGAATGTGCAACAACAGCTCGCGACCGTGAAGGATGGAGGATCATTACATGTCAACCTCTGAGTGAGACACTTTCAGGTATCCAGGTTTCTAGGTGTTTCGACATTACCTGTCAG